CACATATGCATGTGTCACCATGTGTGTGAACCTATGTGGGAGTGTCCGACCGGTGAATTCTGATTCGGTGACTCTTTGGCCGCTTGGGGGAACGTGTGCATATCCGTGTGAATGTGCCTGCCGGAGTGTGTGCACACGGACCCGCGTGAAATCAGCCACGTGCCATGCGCGCGAGCACCAGGAGTGCGATGGTCGTCGCTCCGGTCGTTTATGTAACAAAGTCGAGACGATTGCAAGTATAGGGCGACTGGCGGCCGCCATGATTATGCTTGTGCGGGTACGCCCGTGCAAATGCAAGCTTGTCAAAGCTACGCTACAAGTGCTTGCACGCATGAGCATAGCCTCCCCTATACTCGCAAAGCCTGGCAGTTCGACGAAGGAACCATAGAATGCCCGGTTGCAGATTTAGAGCGCGAGGATCTGGTAGCACAGAGCATCAAAGCGCCATTTCTCGGGGGACCTGGACGTCAGCGCGCAGCTTTTGCAGCAGCGAGGACCCGAAACACACTTGTTCGCTCGGAAGAGTGTTTCGGCGTCTCGCCGCAGCGGGGCGCCAGTCACGTGGCTCTCCTCTCATCCGTTGTCTGCCGCTCCACCTTTTCACTTTCGGCGGTCGCTTCTCGTGGCGATCTGCCGGGCTTTGTCAGTTAAGAGAAGGCTATGCACGAACACACAAGTCCGACCTCAGTGCACGATACGATCCGACGCATAGTGCACCGAGCAGGTGCATCGTTCCATCGCTCGTTGTCTTTGTGGATCAACGGCTGATGCGCAATCACGCGCAGAAAAAAAGTGCAGGATAGCGGCGTACTGTGCGTGATTGGGAGGGTCGGTGACGCCCAAGCGCGATGACGATGCACTTCTTCCGCTGCTTGATTGCTTCCACGAGGTTGTATAGACGGCATTAAAGTGAAACGAAGCTTTTAGAGTCGTCTTTCTATATACGTATACTTTGTCGGTCAAACCTCCCCGATGGCCAGAACAAAGATTCGAGTAATTTCACGCTGTATAGAAGGTCCGAATAGCCGGCGTGGAATCGCAATTTCACGTGGCTCTCCTCCGTTCAGAAACTTGGAGAGCGCGCTGGCTCTGCGCTTGACCGGCCTTTGAGTCTCCTTGGTCCGACGATGTGGAGGTGGCCTTAGACGTGAACTGACATTTAGGCGTGACCGGCCTTCGACTCAAAGGCGTCGCGTTATAGCGCGCGTCTCCGCCGACGTCTGGCTGGAGTTTGCTCGCGCTTCTAGCCTTGATCGGAGGCGCCAAGAGTTTCCGGATGCAGTGTGGGAGGAACGAATCGTGCACTGGCCGCTGGAAACGGTCTCACCTTCTTTTTTTCTTTCTTCGCCATTTTATTAACATTATCAGAAAAAAATATATTGGCAGCGACCATTGCTTACGAAGTTGCATAATGCATTAACTTCAGTATTTGAGGAGCAATCGTTTAAATTTTACGAGATATTCAACGGTCGTTTCGGTAAGTGAAGAACCTAATTTTTATGAATTTAGCGAGGTAACTGGCTCGGTGGATACGCCACGTGACGTCGATTTTCCGGCTGAATTTAGCGGGGAAATTGAATTTGTGTATATAGGCCACGTGGCATCAATTTCCCCGTCAAATTGAGCGGGGGAATAGATGTAACGGTGTTTTACTCACTGCAAAACATACGCATCGTCTGACACTCATTCTCCGCTTAAATATATAGCGTAGCGGTTGTTACCAAGTGCCAAAGTTTTCGAAATTACCGTTACATTATTCAAAAATTATAAACAATATTCGGGAAATTTTCTGAGAAAATGTCGGTCAAGATGAGCCCGCGAACACGTGGAAATGAATGACGTCTGCTACGGGGAGCGGGCTCCAATTTCTCATAAAAAAAGCGCCGAACATCGCATCAAACGACGATGTACGCTTTGAAACTTCGGCATATGGTCCCAACCGGTAGCGGTATACATCTGGGAGGAGAATAAGCGGTCGCCGATGCGTATTGTTTATTTTAGCTGTGAGAAAAACGGGATTCTTTCTCCTCCCAGACACCCGTTCCATAAAGACGTCGAGCAAATCTGCAAGTACGCAACAAGACGATCTTTCAAGCTAGTGGCACAGTTTCCAAGTTCACTTTTCAGTGCAAACCATACGCGAGTATAGCTGATCCGTTCAACTGCGCCACGTCTAAACGGGTGGTTTTGGGACGCACCTACTCCGCCTGGTGGTAAACGCAAGTGTGTGAACGATATTTCGAGCACACCGAAGGAGAGTCCGCACGTCTCATTTATTCACAGTCACCGACGGCTTACGAATCGCGGTGCCTTGTTATGTTCATGCATAGCCTCCTATATACTGACAAAGCCTGGCAGATCGCCACGAGAAGCGGCCGCCGAATTCGGAAAAGTGGAGCGGCAGACAACGGATGAGAGGCGGAGCCACGTAACTGGCGCCCCGCTGCGGCGACACACCAAAACACACCTCTCCCGAGCAAACAAGTGTGTTTCGGGTCCTCGCCGCTGGAAAAGCTGTGCGCTGACGTCCAGGTTCCCCGGGGAATGGCTCTCTGATGCTCTGTGCTACCAGATACTCGGACTCCAAATCTGCTCCGTCGTAGAACTGCCAGGCTTTGTGAGGTCATGCTTCTTCGACTCTACACCAATGCGCGGCACTGATGTCACATCGCCGCGGTGGAAGGGAAGAGCGCCTGACGGCCCTCGACATGGTCTTGCGAACAATGACAACTGTTCTCTCTGCAGTCCCAGAGATAACCCGCGTCAGTCATCGCCGCAAATAACTGATGGGGTTTGGGGCGGGGAACGGATCAGTCGCGCTCGTTCCTTTTCATTGGTGCTGGTGGTGTGAAAAACAAGGAAGCTTTCCCAAAAACATGCCCCGAACGAGATCTTCTTGGATCCCGTTCGATCGTCGAGATATGACTGTCGTCGACACTGTGTTATTTGAGATCTTGCTCAAATAAGTCCTTTTTTTTTTTCGGATAACGCTGCACCGTGTCGCACGTATACCATATATTCTTCGAATGTTAACACTCGCTAAATTTTGTGTCTGGTACTGTCGTGTACATCGGTAAACACATTATTTGTGCGCGCAAAACGCCGTGTCCTGTTTGCATCTAGTTTCTCCGTCTCTGTTTTTGGGCGTTTTACTTCAAAAATGTGCAAAAAAACAGCCCCACTTGTTAGTACGCGTGCTTTTCAGTTGTGTCGAAAATTATTTTAGATAGCTAAACACTTCGTCGATTGACATGGCTGAGCGGGCGGCGCCGTCAAACCTCATCGTAAGATGAAACAAACATTCCAGTCGCATTCGCTCTGTCGCGCGCGTAAAGAACGGAAATAGTTTACAATTGGTATTTTTGTTTCAAATGTCGCACAGCTTTCTCAATAACCTCAGACAAACACAAACACCTTAAAAAGAAAAAAAAAAAAAAAAGAACGGGGGGACAATGAAATTGCTGAACACCTTGCCGCATCTGACGGGCACTCACGCCTGCGTTGATAGACATGTGAGCGACGAATCAAGGGTATAGTCATGTTAGTAATCGTTTATCTATCTGTTTTTGTTTTTTCACCCAGGTTTTTTCAATCCTTCTTTTGTGTTTTATCTTTTCAAGTGTTTTCCTCTGCTGTAAAATAAAAAAATATATATATATATATATATATATATATATATATATATATAACGGGCATAGTGGCGGGAGGCCGAAGGCGTGGGTATAAAACTGAGAAGAAAAAAAACCCTTAGTGAAAACAGCAACAACGGACTTTCTGACGAAGGCCGGACTCCGGCCGAAACGTCGAAGATTAAATAGTCCGTTGTTGCTGTTTTCACTAAGGGTTTTTTTCTTCTCAGTTTTATATATATATATATATATATATATATATATATATATATATATATATATATATATATATATATTTTTTTTTTTTTTTTTTTTTTTTTTAATAGTGTGCGTTTTTCGCGCTTCTGTTGTTATTGCCTTGTCTCAGTTTTGTGTTTGCCCTCCCGGCAGCGCAGTGTAAAATCCATGAGGAAAAGGCGATAGTTGAGCCGCCAGTAGTGTCAGAAACTGCGTTTACGCCTATCGAAATGAACACTACACTCGGTTAGGGTTAGAAGGGACGCCGTGAGAGGCTGTAGCCTCAAACCAGTTAGCATGCAGGCTCGAAAAAAGTTCTCTTGTCCCTGGGGCCGGGTGTTGCTTGGACAGTTGAATAGAATTTATTCCCAACTGATTACAATCAGTTTCACGGTGTCAAATGAATGCATCGGAAACTGGCTCCAGCTTCCGCCCAGCAAGCACGGAACAAATGCTAGACGGCCTGCTCGACCCTGCAAGTCTGCTTGGCCGCAGCGTCCCGGCGCTGAAAAAGCGCGGGTATATTTGAATCATTGGTTTTGGCAGGCATCACCTTCATTTCTCCATTTCACAATAACTATTCTGAATTTCGCGATATTGAATGGCATACCGGGAAAAGTAAAGCCCGGAGACCCAGAAAATAGTTATTGTATAGCTACGAGCTGGTGGGACTATAATCGCACAACAGTCAACCAGTCATGTATAGGGAGGGCCCAATGACTTGCGCTTTTGAGACGCTGACTCGTCCCATCAGTGCCGAAGCAGAGTATGGTGGTACCGGCTTATAACCGCCCATGTATGGGAAAAAAGGTCCCGAAGTGGCGGCAAATGACGTCACGGGATTTGGTGTGTCGTGTTGTCGGACGTCGCGATCCTGGCGGTCGGTCGTAGAAATACTGGCAAAGCGGGCGAGCGGACATGAAGGTTGAATTGTCGCTCCCTTACAAAAAATGTGAATGCGTTTCAATGGAGTTTCTAATGTATTCTTATAGAATACATAACAATTACTCAATATAAACTCATTGGTAATTTTTGTAAGGGCGACGTCCGAACTCGTGTCTGCCTTGGTTTTCATCGAGTGAAAGCATTATCGTTTCTCGACCCTAACTATTTTTTCTTTCTTCCTTTCTTCAGCACTGGCTGGACCCGACCAAGAAGATCTACAAGCAAATGAAAGGTGAGCAAACTTTTTAATACACAGGGAATCGTTGGTCCGGGGGCATCCAAGAATTTACCTGAAATGCCATAGGGTCGATTTCCCTGCATGTTACTTGCTTGCACAGATAGGTAGTACATAATATTACACCAGCAGTTTACATATTATGATATAGTCTCAAAATAATTCGTTTTTTTTTTTGTTTGTTTTTTTGCAGGGCGTCTAGCTTATGTAAAACAATATTAATAATAATAGAACTATTTTTGAAGCTGAATGTTTATATTAAATTGGGCGTGAGCGTTCAGTGGACCTTTGTGGGCCGCATTTCCATAAAACATGGCCAGATCCATCTAAAATGGCTGTCCAAAAAAGACCGCACCCTTTAAAAACAAAAATAAAAAGGGCAAGAAGTATAGCCTCGGGGCCCATTTCGGACGGTGTGCCCTACACAGCCTCGCCCTAGGATGAACCGCAGTCGACACCATCGAGCCATCCCCAGCCAATCAGCGCCGAGCGCGATTCACGGGACCTTGCGGTCGGGCCCAACGAGGCGCCATATGAAGAAGGTCACGTGTTCTCGATGCCACAGCGCCGGATTGGCCGGGACGGCTCGCAAGCCCTTTGCCGCGGTCCATCTTGGAGTCTGACGGAGCGGAGCTGTTACCGAACGCGGCGATTCAATTAAACGGGCCCTTTGTTGACCGAGCAGCCAACCATCGCTCTCCATTGGACCGACCACCCGGCGCGCACCGCAGCCATTACGCTGGGAAAAAAAAGAAGAAAAAAGAAGCTTGCCGATTACAAAAGTTGACTTGCAAACGGATTGCTTCCTAGGTACGCCATATGCATGCGCAACTATGAGCGCTTTTGACGTACGCCGCATGAGCATTTAACAAAAACAACAAAAGAAGAATTCCAATTAAGATGGGGACGGATCGCACGCTGCGTGTGCTTCTGAAAAAGAGCGCGCGCGCGCCCCGCCGCGGGAGTTTTTTTTGGAAACCTTTTTAAACGATGTCGGAACGGTCTTCAGTTTTTCGGTTACACCGTTTTTGGCACAGTGTTACCGTATTACCGTTGCCGTCACGGAATCGGACCGGGGACGTGCCGCAAACGAAACCGCGGAGCCAATAACGAAGTTATTAGGGAGTTTCCGTAGACCTCGCTGCCCCCTCCGCTAAGCGTTCCGCAACGAAGAAGTTGCTACTGCGCCTGCGCGCCGATAGCCTTGACTGTGGAGTTCCCGCTATCTTAGCGGGTTCCAGAGGGCATGGTTGAAAAAACCCCGAGACTGCGGGTAAACGACACAACACTAAAAGTCTCTATAAAAAGTCTCTATAAAAAGTCTCTTAGCGGGTTCCAGAGGGCCTTGCGGGACGGCGAAAACAATCTACAAAAACTCCCTATTGACGTGGAAACACGTAGGCACCAATAGGCCCGATTCAAAAGTGCGTGCGAAGGCTACCCCAGCGAACCAATCAGCGATTCGGAGGGAAGCACGTGACTGTTAGCGTCGAGACGTTTTGGTGGTGCCCTCTCGTGGTTTGCGTTCCTTGACGTCACGACCAGGATTTGCATCTGCCTTGCCATGATTGGCAGGATTGGTCTCGCTGCGTACCGGCGATTGGACAGGCGTTACCAGTATGCAGAGGTCTCTGGCTTAACCAATCGCGAACTTGGACCACAGCGACGCTTTTGCTCGCGCACGTCGCTAAAACAGGAGCGCCGCCGGAGACTGACACATGAGCGCGAGCGGTTTCTTCGCGCTCCGTGACGTCACGCCCACAAGCAAGATGGCTGTGCCGACCGAAACGTTGTCGAGACGAAGGGCGGTCGCTGACCGTTGCTCCTTTTCGGTTGACTGGTGCTTAATCCGGCGGGCAAAAACGATGTGATTTGAAAGCCCAGACAGGAATGAGCGTTCCGGAAAAGGTTTATTCGTGCATGTCGCCTGAAAACGAATTGACGTGCTATCTATTGAACGGAGGTGTGCCGGTATTCGGGCGTAGCACATCGACGGGTTCCGTCTCACGGTGCAAGACAGAACCACGGAACATCTGACGAGTTTGACAGTTTCCTGCGTGGACAAGCGAGTTCAAGCATGTTGTCTTCCACGTAAATTTGTACAGCATGCATGGTCAATAAGATGGGTCGAGGTAACTTTCGGCATATCTGCTCGAAGCGAGTCTTCGAACCTTTCACGATTATTAAAACACTCGTAAAAACTTCCTAACGTCACCGTTTTTGTGTTTTTTTGTTTTTTACATTTTGCCGTTTTACAGCTAAAAAGAAATTATCTTCGAAATGATTTCGGCTTCTGCCGCCCAAGTGGCTCATGCGACTCGTCGATATAGTTTCGGTGTGTCGCTGTGCTCCGTTAAGCGCGATCCAAACCAACGCTTCTTTTTGCGCCTGTAGGTCGTGCGGCTGCGGATGTGACGCATTTCGTGGCGTTTTTGCTGCTTCCGGGCGCGCTTTCTGAGTCAGAACCGTGCGCTTTGGTTTGGACGGGCGAAACTTCGGGCGAGCGCGCACAAGCAAAGTGCAACTGCGACAGACTGGCCGGCCAGACGGCGAGAGAAAGAGAGAGAGAGAGAGAGATCGCGTTGTCATGTTATTGGCCGGGACACAGGAGCGTCCTACTACGTCACCGCGCGTTTTTGTGCGCGTTGAGAAGAAGTTGAAATCAACCAACTTTCTTGTGCGCGCCCGGAAGGAGCGAAGAAGCGGCGCGACGTCACGAAAATACGTCACATCCGCAGCCGCACGACCTACAGGCGCAAAAAGAAGCGTTGGTTTGGATCGCGCTTTAGGTTGCTGCACCCGGACCTAACGCGCCCACTGTTTGAGCACGCACTCTGGTCGTGTATTCGACACGAGGGCTGCCCCAACGTTCGGCTACGACTCGGGTCCAATCAGGCGCTTCGTGCCCCAGCAATGGCCGACCGCCAATGTTGCCGGATGGGGCTGTGAAAAGGGAAGTGTACGTGGAAGAATCCGCCCCTGGTGATGGGGTTTCCGCCTTCGACGTCACCTAAAAGCAGCGTGATGAGCAGACATCGTCAATGTGACCACGCCTTTGAGTCACTCATCGTACAAAGTACCGTTTGCATACACTGTCTGAGACGTGCTTTCTCCTTGTATGAGGCTCGCATTGGTCATACGAAGATCGCCTGCAGACATATTCGAAGCATAGACCACACGTGCTCCGAACATCTAACGGATAATTCCGTCGCACGTGTCGGAAGCGAACTCAGTGCCTTTTGTATGAACTCTGAAGCCTCGCTCGCCAACCTGTTGCGGAGTTACCAACAATCCCGAAGAGCTCCGAGAAGTGCTAGGAAGAAGAAAAAAAAAATGAAATAAGAGATACCGTACGTGACCGAAGAACAGAGAGACGTCCAGTCACGATGCCCGCGGTTGTAACTGGCACGGGAACTTTCTCGAGCTATACATTGTAAGTACTTCCCGGAACGCGCCTTTAAGTGCCCATAAACTGCGGTATTCACGGGGACCTTTTAGCAGATTGAGAAGTATATGTGCTCGTTTGGTGGGCTAGACGGGGAGGTGTGACGAATGCACCGGCGATCGAGAGCGGTCGTTGGGGGTTTACGCTTGCGGGGCGGATCCTCGCTGACGTCGGGCGAATTTTAGAGCCGGGTGGCAAAATGGACTCGTCGTCACTGGCGGAAAATCTGGATATGGGTCCCGGACCGATCCGAATTTCCTGGCAGCGACGGCCAGATTCCGTCCCCCTTGGCTCCAAAATCCGCTCGCCTCCGGCACGGATCCGCGAGCGAATAGAGTTTTAGTAGACCGCATCCGGCTGCCAATTGGGAGCCAATCCATTCTTCCAAGTGACGTGGCACGAGCTCCCGTTAGCAACGCACAGCTCTATCGCACGGTCTACTAAAACGTACCTATGATCCGTACGCGTAAAGCACAGCCACCCTGCATTCCAGGGCTAGAAGATAAGAAGATGCAAACAAAAACGGGCGGATTGGCATTGTAGCGTACACTCGGTATATACGCAATTACACGCTTCGATGCGATGCCCAACTTACCAGCTTTGACGGCCGCCAGTGGTATAGACGTTTGAAAAGGGTCTATTGGGTTGCCCTTTGGATGTCATTTAATTAAAGTTTGCTATTTCGTTAGCGCCACCCATAAGCCTCGCGCGTCCCCGAGGAAACCGACGAACGATACGCAACTTACGCAATCGCATCCTGCGCAACTCTCATGAGATTCCTTCGCAGTAAACACGATGCCACGAAGAAAGCGTCCTCCGCCAGTGCCACGCTCGCGCAAGCAATCCGAGCAGAATACAGGGTTGTCCGAGCACGCGATCTCTCCGAGGACAAGCCCTCCGGGTGTTAGCAGATCGTGCGTGCATTTGCGGAAGCGCCTGGCAACAATGGATGCCTTCTAGCGGCCATCTTACCCTCTAATGGCGCCCGCCGTCGGAGCGTCTTCTCTCTTCGCCGTTTCCAACCGGTGAATAAAGGCTAAGCTTTGTCGCTCTCTCTGGGCAGGGGTATGGGCAGAACCACATAGAACAGTCTTCAAAGCATGTGCCCTAGAATTTTAACGTCTGTATAATGAACGCGTCGACTCTGATGACTTTCCTTCGAAGAAGGCGAGTTGGCAGGCCTGGAGTTTTCCGGGGTTCTTTCATGAGACATGTTGCAACACTACATACCTTTTCATAAATCTCACCGGAACCCGCCGGAATCCACGTTGGAGGCATTCGTCGCTGTTATCGTATGTTTTGTGTGCTTTGGAGCCGAAGTTCGCGCTGTAGTTCGTACGCTCACTCGGGGCTTAAAATGGTCAGTTGCGCCGTACATAGTTGTCCCAGCCGTAAACGTCGGCGACGAAACGGAGCTACGGCCAGCAATATTGGTTTTTCTAAAATTCCGGAAGGTATGGGAACCAGGACAAGGCGACGCCCGAGCAAACGGTTCGCCGGCGTTATGGATGGTTCCCGATGGATACGCCGGCACAAACCTCGACCAGACGCGGGTAAAAATGGGAGCAGAACGCGGCAAATCTTGGGCACTAACATCTCCGGTCCCGACAGAAAGAACGAGAGAAAGTGACAAAAGAGCAGAGAAAGAAAGCAGACCAAAGGTTAGGCCTGTTCGTATTGCTGCGACAGATGAAGTTGCTCGACCGCTTGACAATTTTATTCAATTACGTCACAGCGCGATTCCGGGTTTTTTTCTGCAAAGTAAGAGATAAAATAACAATGTATACAGACCTTACAGATGGTGTTTCTTTGTGCATATTAAGGCGTCGTCACAGCGATATGGGCTCATTGAGACCGCTAATTCTGGGACCGCCGATGTTCGCTTCCCGCTGTTCTGAAGCGGCCAAATGCATGGGACCTTTCGCTCTAGATTATTATATTAACTCTATGATCTCGACAGAAGACCTTCGTACCCCATCTAAGGGTTTGTCGACTGCACTTCGTGTCAGGTTTGGAACCTCTTTGCAGTTGACTAGGACAAGAAAGTTTTTTGAAATGTGGTTATACAAAGACGGCTCTGTGACTCCATGCGGCAATACTGCTGCCGTAATAAGACGCAGAATGCATCCCATATGGCACCAATGCACTGATAGCAGACGACAATGTTGGTTTCGATTTCGAGCCTAACCGGAAATGACGTCAAGTGGAAGAAGCCTACATACCTCTTTCACAAGGGCGCCGCCATCTTGAATTTTGCCGCTTCCGGTTGTGGGCGAAAACGTGAGATATACGCGTACACCCTTCCCACATTCTCGTTTTTGCCAGCTGCGGTCTTTCCCTCTTTGGTGCGTTTCTGCGTTTATCTTATACCGCTTTTTTTTTTTTTTTGAGTTGGAGATGGAGGAAGTTTGTTGTTGTATCACATATGCTCTTTCTTCTGAATGCGCGTAGTGGTGCTTCGGAGTTGGCGAACAAAGCAGCTTGTGCTTTGTTCGCGAAGCGGGCTTTTGTATTCCGCTACTCGTATCTCGCTGCTTTCTCCCCAGAAGCGCGCCGTGCGAGAGGCCACGGGTCTTTCCGGGTTTCGAGAGAAGGCATCCGTCCTCAGGGTAACCGACTCCGGTTACCATCACGTAATCTTCTCCAGAGGATACTATGGTGCTTGTGATACATACAGTCGATGCCGCTTATTATAGCCACCTGCAAAGGGGAAGCGAGCAATTTCATTCGAAAATGAAATTGCTCGCTTGATCTTCTGGAGAAGATAACGTGATGGTAACCGGTCGACTGCTAACCAGCGCCCGTCTGGTGGCCAGAAAGGACAACTTTGGGCGGGCCATATGCCACCAGAAGGATTGGGCACGAGCGCTGCGTCACGGTTCGGCAGGTGTTCGCTGTACACGCGATGACAGAATCGTCTGCGGTCATGCGTCAAGGATGTTCGAAGCGTACTCATACATTTGTATGCTGGATGGATGTTAATGGCTACACCTTTTGTAACGGGCAGTAGCTTGTGCCACCTAGCCTAGGTCTAAAAAAAGCATATGATTCCTCCCGTCCTTCTAGCCAATTTTCTCCCCCGAACTGTCTTTAGTTAGGGGGACAAAATTTTCTACCCTTAACTTTTTTTTTTTTTTTTGGTACGACGTATTAGCGGTACGCTACCGGGGCTTGGTTCGAGGACCCAATAACACCTGAACAGGAACACGTACGTCCTCAGAGTCCCGGCATCCGGTGAGAGCACGATGGTTGGTACAAAATGTTTTGGAAGGTTAAACAAAGGGTTAGAGAAATGGCGGCTAAATTTGACGGAAGGATAGACAGCACTTATGGTGCAGTGCTAAAGTTATGATCTGGCTATAGATAGCGCAAGTCACCGCCCGATTTAGCAGAAACGGCCACCATGCCACCACCCATCCATCCAGCTTGTGCTGTCCTCTGGCTCCTCGCGTATGCATCCGTCTTCCCAGTACCGGACGACGTCGATTATCTTTCTTTGGCGCTGCGGCGTGAGCGACCGGGTCGTGCGGCGACCGTGCGAAGCGGGCGACACGGCCGGAAAGCCACGCGTCGCTGACCTTGATTCTCTTGTCCGCCTTTCCCGCCGATATAATCGATGACCGAGCGGCCGTGCCGAAAAGCTATACGGCACAATCGACCAAAGACACGCGAGGGGCCGTCGTCCGTGAGAGAGCACGCTCCTGCAAGCGGCAATGTGACGGGCTGCCATTACTCGCGTTTTGTTCGGGGTAAGGCATAAATCATCGTCGCTGCGTGTTCCAGCGTCGGCGCGTACTCCTTCCTCGCGTCGCCGCCGTAGTCTGCTGTACTGCTGGCGGAGGAATGAACAGGAGGTGCCCCTGTCGGCTGCTAGCCAGCGCCATCTGGTGGTCCAAAACGGCAACTTTGGGTAGGCCATGCCGCCGAACGATAGGGCGCCCGTAGATGGCGCGATAGCTGTGTGTTCTTCCGTCTAAAACGGTCACAAGCAGAGGCAACGCAGATGTGTGAACCGGCCCTGACGTGCCTCACGCAGTAGCGATTACACGAACGCATGCCGGTATACGACGCTCATCCAGATCTAAACCCGCGCCCGAAAAGAGCAAGTACGTGACATGCAAGTGCAATGGAAGAACTGACTCGACGGCTGTCGTGCTGTATACAATTGTGTCGTGCGCCGCCCCAAGCACGCCCATTCGGTGCACCATTTCGTGCAGCTCAATAGGTGTCGACCCCTACGGGTGGGGGCGACCAGAGATCAGCGCCCCCCTCATGTGGATCACGATTGCGCGGGGGTGCGCGCGCAATCACGATGAGCTCTCCCTCTGCGAAGCCCGCGGGTCACCTCGTGACCCTTGCCCGAGGGTCGCCCCAGGTCGCTGCTCGAGGTCCAGCTTACGCTTTTATCGACCATCGCAGGCGGTTAGGCCGCACCAATGGCCGCCGCGCATTCCGAGACGGCGGACCCACCGTCTCGCGTCTCCCCCGCGTGCAGTGTGCTGCGTGGTGTATTTTTATACCTCGGTAAATGAGATGTATTGGAAGAAAGGCCCAATACGCTTCGCGAGGATCGTGGTATGCTCTCGATGGATTGTCTTCCTGCATGCGCTTCGGGGGGCAAGGGTAACCATATTCCGAGCGCCTCATTAGTGTGACTCTGACCCCTCGGGTTAGATCGGGTCGTGTTGCTTATTAACCGCAACCTATGTTCGCGTTTCCAAGTGGGGACAACCTCGACAGATATGTTTGCTAATCGTCTAAGCTTCTCCCGAGTTTTCACTGGAGTTACTTGCGAACGGGCTATTTATAATGAAAGGGGCGGCTCGAAATGAGTCGGCTCTGGAGCATCAGTGAATGAACTCCTGTTTTAGATAATGTTGGAGACTTTTAGCAAACCGTTACCGTGTTCCGCGTACCGCACTGCCAGAGCGACCACGGCAAAGGCTCAGGTATACTGCGGTACGCGGAACACGGTAACAGTATGCTAAAAGCCCCTATTAATATTAAAATAGTGATACATTTCTTTTGTTCTTCGTAGGGGTGAACACGTTCACATTCTACTTCGGGGTGAAGTTCTACGCACCAGACCCTTGCAAGCTTCTCGAGGAGATCACAAGGTGAGTACTGCATTGTCGCCAGAACGTCGCGTTGGTCAGACGACCGCTGCCTCTCGTGAGGACATCTGGTTTCTGTGAGCAAGTAGCTTCAGAACCCGTCGTCGTGGTCGCCATCTTAAACCAGCATATCATCCGAGAATTATACTGTCGTCATTATCCCAGTTCACTGCTCGGAAATCAAATCGACCTCTTCGTGTCTTGAAAGCTTAGTAAATTGATGAACACGTCGTCAATTTGCGATAAATATTTTGTGATGGGGATGTTCGATCGAGGTGCGGTATAGACCATGATTTCGCCACAGCCCCCCACTAACCTTCTGCGGCATCAGAAATATATATATATATGAAAAAAAACAAAAAAACTTTCAGTTTTTCCACTTTGGAGAAGAAGGAAGACCAGCGAAGCTGTACAATGGAAAGTAATGGCCGGCCGCAAGTCGACAAGCCAGACTGGAAAGGCTGCTGCCATCTATGAGCGACGGCGGCAACCAGATACGTGACTTGCCACGTATCTGGTTGCCGCCGTCGCATCGTAACATCACTTTTGTGCACGGCGTTCCTGGGAATGACGCGTAGGACAGTTCTTACTAAATTCATGGGTCATTCCATTATGCTCCGGTCCCCGTTATGGAAACTTTTTTTTATATATACGTACATATATACAGGGTGCGGCCGTAAGGACTAACATATTTGGCACGCCTCGCAAAATTTGATTTCCAAACGTACGTACCTGAAATTGGGCCCGCCAACGCAATTTCAGTAAAAATGTTATATCTCTTTTTTTTTTTTTATTACAGCAGAGCTGTTAAAGGGGAAGCGCTCGTCCTGTTCGCCTTCCTTTACTCTGATTGGTTCCGAATGAAGGATAGTGGGTAGACCTCAAGGCAGTTCGCTTTGAGGTCTACCCACTATCTTTCAAGCAGAGCCAATCAGAGCTCGGCGTGTTTCTGACGTCACCACAACCCCTGCAAAAAGAAGCAGACGAACTTATTGCGCTCCGCATTGCTCTCTCGCGAATCTGTTCTATTAGCGGCGAGATGTTTCGGTGGCGCCCTCGTTTGGTTACTTTTCGTGACGTCATTACCTTGTGAACAACAAGCTCGATGGTGTTTGTAATGAGCATGGTGAAAGCCTCAAATCATAGAGCTCTCAAAGCAAGACTGCCAACACCGTCAAAATTGAAGTTCTTACATTCCTCTTATTTGCGTCCATGGGAAATCCTTTGCTGACGTCATAGTCAGCATTCGGCCAATCGTGGTGCAGCGACGCTTTCGATCGCTCACGTCGCCACTAGCATTCCTGGACGAGGGAAAACCGTTTCGTTTGGTTTCAGATACAGCCTCGGATAACTGACAACCATGATTTGAAACACGCAGATGGCCGAACGGTTGCTCCTCTGCGTAACTGTTTTAGTGAATCGTTCCGACATCTCCGATACGCCCGATAACGACACGATGCACGCGCAAAGGCGGCGGCGGAGTATCGGGTATCGTTATCGGAGTCATCGAAACGATCTACTAAACCTCTCTCTACTCAGTGGGTACACAACACGTCCGTTGAGTTTTCAGGGAATATTACGACATACTGCCTCAAGTTTACTCTTATTATTATTATTATTATTATGTGGTTTTGTTTACGATTGAGTAAGTCGGAATTGCCTTAAAGCGAGTCGCCCTGTACATAATCGCCCTGCACACGAAAACCGGGGCCGCGTCTACAAATGTCGGCTGTGTATCGAGGGTAGCTCGATCGCTTCGCTTCGATGTATACGTATACGATTGTAATCGCAACCGATATAATCGAACTCTATATGGAGGCAGAAAAACAACGGGCAAAGGCGGCAAACACGCTCAACCTGCGGACGACGGGGGAAAAAAAATACTCTCGTGACCAGCGCTTCACACGGTTCACGCCCTTGCATACCCTCGCTGCCAGTCACGATTAGAGACACGGCAGCGCCCATGCGTTCTTTTTGACGCCCCCGTTGTTCTGCCGCCGCACTCCGCGAATATTTCACGCGCATGCGCGGAAGCACGCGTGCCGCCATTCTTTCTCTAATTCATTCCATTCGTGTTATTGTTCTTGTTTTGGTTGCGGCAGTTCCGTTTTAGTTTTGTTTTTGTCAGGCAGCATATAGCGGCACACGCTTGGGAAACGATGTACTATATACCATTGTGTTTTTGAGTGGGGCGATTCTGCGTGAAATGCGCGCGTGCACATGGGGTGGAGGAAGCAAAGTGAGGCAGACTCACCCAAGCGCCATTTGTTCTCGCTCCTTAGTGATTTTTTTTGTTATATATATATTTTTTTTTTATATTTACAGGCACGCGTGCTCATGCAGTGCTCTTGCACTGCACGAGCGCGCGTGCTTGGCAGGGACGCTGAAAGCCCGGAGCTCGCTCTTGTAGCTTCTGCTACGCTCACAGTGAAAGTGAAAAGGAGTATTGGCGACTCCTATAGGGCAAATATGGCGGTCGAATCCAGGTCGTGCCGTGCCATGTGCCAGCTCATCGCACAACGCTGGGGCAGCAGCAATAAGCATTGGAGTCGAAACTGGCTCCCCCGCGTTTGATCTTCCACGTTTCGAACCTGCTGCGATCTGTTGACGTAAGCGAGCTTCCAGAGGCTTGACTTTTTTTCAGGAAGCGATGAAAGGACTGCCCATTGTCCTTCCACGGCGCTGATGAATGTTGAGAAACGCAGAATGTCTGGCTCACGCGGTTACGTAGGTCGCGTGCAGAGCAACCTGGGTAACAACCTACAGTTACGACACAGTCACCGGTAGAACTGTTCTGTCGCGCAAACCATCGACACAGTGTAAACACGGAACCCAGAAGAGACGAGCAGAAATCGCGAAAGGACCTGTTGCGGCCAGTTCAGTGCTTTCCCGCTAGGTGCCGTTCGTTTTGCTGGAGTCGCGAATAGGGTGTATTCATGTTTCAAAAGTAGCGCAAGGTTCGTCAATGCACGAGGCACGTGCAACGTGCAGCAATTGGGAAGATCATGGCGGCTCAGCGCAGCACTGAGCTACATTTCAGACGCCATGTTCTTCCCAGAAGTGGCGCGCGGCACGTGTCTCTAGCATTTCTACAACAATGAATGGCGCCACTTTTCCCAGGATAGAGGGGCTTTCGTACTCACTGACGGCCATAGCTGGTGTGCGCGGCTGCTGAGCGCGTGGTGACGGCAAGCTTCCGCAGTTCTTTTGCAACACGCATTCCGCACCATCGAGATTGCCGCTCTTAGTAGGCTATTAATGTGAGATCGTTCTGAGCTTGCGCTCTAACACCGTGGCTCTAAGCATCGCCCTCAAATATGGCGTTCAGTGCATGAATACCCCCTGAAGCACTGTAGACATATCCATGGACAAAAACGAAACAAAAAAACACGGTAATCTAAAGACGCTTTCGGTTAAACGAGCCAGCAATCAGTCAATCAATTTTCGAGTCAAGCAGTGGCTCGTGCCACCTACAGTGTCAGCATAACTTGGCAAAGAGCGAGTAATCAGGGTGACCCAGTTGAACACGTGACAGCTCTCCGCGGGAGCAAAGCACACTGTCAATACGTAGTCACGTGCCTCGTTTCTGGCGTGCTGATTGGCTCAAGGTGGCTGGCGTCCTTCCTTGGAACGGAGTCATTATTTTCGCAGGCAGGGTCGAGCGCCGTTCCACACTCTGATTGGATCCGTTCGGTGACCGATTTTCGCAAGCGCCACCGTTTTTAACAATCGGCTTTCTCAAACGGCGTTGTCTCGCGGAGCAAAAATGCCTCGCTTTTAACCGAAAAAAAAAAAAAAAAAAAAAAACAACGACAACAACAACAATTGTTTGAAAAACGCGAGCTCGCGGACAAAGAGATGAAATATGGCCGTTTTTTTGTGTTGTCCGCTAGTATACACTAGCGTTTTGTTTACCATTATTTTTATTTTTAGGAATGTGTGTCAATGGGAAAAGGAACAAAGGCTCCCGCTCACAAAGGCGGGCCCCTTTAGCTGCCTTAATTAACGACGATCACAACACACCTGCTATGTGCGGCATTAATGAGCCCGCGCTCCACGGGCGGATTACCTTTCGTGAATGGCACGATGCTTATTTAAGCCGAGCTGTTCGCTTATTACGTGACCGATAAAAATCTACCGTTTTTTTCTTCTTTTGCATTCGGGGGATTGGTGGCCGAGTCTGTTAGCACGTCGTACCTCGGAACAACCGTAGAGCGAAAGCTCGCGCTGCAGATACCCAGGGTGGCTAGACGTAATCCCCGTTACTGCCCTGTTTAGAATTGGACGTCAGCGCTTAAAAACCTCAGGTTAGCAGTCGTCCTGCTGTGGCAAAGTCACGCCTCTACAGCGTTAAACTAGCGTAACCATATCTCAAGGGCAGACCCATGGCTTAATATCAGGGGGGCCTCGGGGGGTCGTCTCGGATCTTCTGCCGATTTTGAAAGGTCTGAGACCACCCGCCATATCTCTGGAGTTGGTGAAAACACAGTCATAAGTACTCCGCTTTATATTCAAAACTGTTAGGATTTTCCCCATTCGAGTTTTGTTGAGCAGCCATCTCCAGAGAGAGAAAAAAAATACGTTCTGAGTAGCCGTGTCGATTTCGTGTGGAACAAAATGGCGGATGTTTCTGGGACATTCATTCTTCGCGACAAAAATAGTCGGAATCTACGTTGTCCGTAGGTTTTGTTTTCCGAGAAACCATGCAGGGTTACTCATACTTTTTAATCAAGTCGCTTTGTGTGCATCTAATATGATCCCTCCCTCCCCCTTAGCAGAGACCCCCCCCTCCCTCCCTCCCTCCCTCCCTCCCCCCCCCCCCCCCCCCCCCCCCCCCCCCGTTTACGGAAGACTTTATTAAGCACTGGGCAGACCAAGCCCTCCTTGCACAAACCATTATACGCATAACGTCGAGTTTGCTTGCTTTTAGGAGTCAGACGTTCAATCCTTGGTACCGTGCGCTTTGCAGAGTCATTAGCGAGGTAAAGGGGGTCAAAAAGGAC